TACAGGTACGGTTAGTACAGGTACGGTATAGTACAGGTACGGTTAGTACAGGTACGGTATAGTACAGGTACGGTTAGTACAGGTACGGTATAGTACAGGTACGGTTAGTACAGGTACGGTATAGTACAGGTACGGTTAGTACAGGTACGGTATAGTACAGGTACGGTTAGTACAGGTACGGTATAGTACAGGTACGGTTAGTACAGGTACGGTATAGTACAGGTACGGTTAGTACAGGTACGGTATAGTACAGGTACGGTTAGTACAGGTACGGTATAGTACAGGTACGGTTAGTACAGGTACGGTATAGTACAGGTACGGTTAGTACAGGTACGGTATAGTACAGGTACGGTTAGTACAGGTACGGTATAGTACAGGTACGGTTAGTACAGGTACGGTATAGTACAGGTACGGTTAGTACAGGTACGGTATAGTACAGGTACGGTTAGTACAGGTACGGTATAGTACAGGTACGGTTAGTACAGGTACGGTATAGTACAGGTACGGTTAGTACAGGTACGGTATAGTACAGGTACGGTTAGTACAGGTACGGTTAGTACAGATACGGTAAAGTACAGGTACGGTTAGTACAGGTACGGTTAGTACTGTTTACTACGCATCGTAGGCCATGTCCTGTTACTAGGTTGTCTTGTTAGGTCTCACCTTAATTATTGATGAGAATTTGATCAATAGATCGCAACGACGTCAACCAATACAAATCAAACGGGAACAAGCCTTGGTGACACTAGGGAGACAGGCCTAGAATCGTTAGTTTATGTACCCATACACGTGTTTTCTGAAGCGTTCAACAGTCTGTGTGCGATACAACTTTAAGGACTACCAGAAAATCGATTTGTATTTTTTTTTCCTTCTTTGAACAAATTCTAAAGACTTAAGCATTTATTTTCTGATCGAAAATATTTTACTCGACATTTGTTCGGTATAATTGGGCACTACCGACTCTCCAACGTTGTACAGCTGGAGGGAAATAGGCAAAGGCAGTGAACAGACCATCGAGTTTAACCGCTGATACTCATATGATATGTTAATATGTCTAGTATTACTAGTTAAGTGTATGCCAATGCTAACTGAACGGTATAAGACATTTCAGGTTACCACAAAACTGCGTCTTGATGAGAGATCTACCACACTAACGAACCTTTGATACATTTTTGCTTTGGTGGAGAGTTTATCAACTGAAAATTGGAATTCTGGCTGTGCGCGAAAGTAAACTATAAACCCCAACCCTTAAGAGAGTCCGATACCCAGACGTCACGTGGTCTGTTCAATGTTATCAGGATCCTTCTAACATTTAGATGAGGGGAAACCTCAAACAAGTGTTATCTCCATCACAGCTCAGTGAGATTCTGTAACAGACCAAGCTTTTATCAATACGGGTATTGTAACGTCATCACGGACCTGATGTTTACACTAGATAACACAGGCGTCTCGAAAAACGGCCAACAGTTTCACCTAAACAATGTCTGTTACTTAAGCATAACTGATATTTCAAAATGACACGACAGCGTTCACAATGAACAATGGTATAACCACGATTCTAAAAAGCAAGGTAGAATAACCTCCATCCTAAAACTTAAATAACGATTTATTTATTTCAAAAGCAACGATAGACCTTTCAGTGGTATAACGTAATGGACAATTGATGACATTGTATACGGTGTGCAGCAATGATGTAATGCTTACTCTCAATGGTTGAAGTTGTTCGATGATTACGGCGCAATGTTTTGTTTTGTGGATTTTTTTGAGGTCAGAAATGAATAAATATGCATTAACCATGAACTGAAAAGTGATGTTTGTTTCTATAATTCAATTCTAATAACAATGATTATGGTGTTTACTGTAGGTACTGGGAAAAACGGTCTAATTCCATACATGATCCTGGTAACTCCTTTAAAACATAATCTCCATGCTGAAATCTATATAGCATGACCTCCATTCCAAAAGTTTAGTAATATAATCTACATTTAAGAAACCAAATAATATAACCAAAACTCCATTATGAGAGTCCAATAACGAAAATCCTATTCCAAGAATCAGAAAATAATTACTTCATTCTGAAAACAAATAACATGCATAATTTACCTCATTTGAAGATACTACTATCGAAGGTCTATACAAAATTAAAGATACGATTTTGAATTTTGATTAAAATGTGCGAGCAAATGGCTTAATCGGGGGACTTAATGTTTACTACCCTTCATGATTTAATTCACTGGGTTGAATATCTGGGACAACTACAGTATCTATCGGTGTCAGCTTACTTTACAGGGTGACACTACAGCAGCCTTAACAACGTGTTTGTCTGACAACTACAGTATATATAGTGGTCAGATTTCTTTACTGGGTGACACTACAGCAACCATAACAACGTGTTTGTCTGACAACTACAGTATATATAGTGGTCAGATTTCTTTACTGGGTGACACTACAGCAACCATAACAACGTGTTTGTCTGACAACTACAGTATCTATCGTGGTCAGCTTACTTTACTGGGTAACACTACAGTAACCATAACAACGTGTTTGTCTGACAACTACAGAATCTATCGTAGTCAGCTTACTTTACATGGTGACACTACAGCAACCATAACAACGTGTTTGTCTGACAACTACAGTATCTGTCGGGGTCAGCTTACTTTACAGGGTGACACTGCAGCAACCATAACAACGTGTTTGTCTGCCAACTACAGTATCTATCGGTGTCACCTTACTTTACTTGGTGACACTGCAGCAACCATAATAACGTGTTTGTCTGACAACTACAGTATCTATCGGTGGCAGCTTACTTTACAGGGTGACACTACAGCAACCATTACAACATGTTTGTCTGACAACTACAGTATCTTTCGGGGTCTGCTTACTTTACGGGGTGACACTACAGCAACCATACCAACGTGTTTGTCTGACAACTACAGTATCTATCGGTGTCACCTTACCTTACATGGTGACACTACAGCAACCATAACAACGAGTTTGTCTGGCAACTACAGTATATATAGTGGTCAGATTTCTTTACATGGTGACACTACAGCAACCATAACAACGAGTTTGTCTGGCAACTACAGTATATATAGTGGGCAGATTTCTTTACATGGTGACACTGCAGCAACCATAAAAACGTGTTTGTCTGACAACTACAGGATGTATCGGTGGCAGCTTACTTTACAGGGTGACACTACAGCAACCATACCAACGCGTTTGTCTGACAACTACAGTATCTATCAGTGTCACCTTACTTTACATGGTGACACTGCAGCAACCATAAAAACGTGTTTGTCTGACAAATATAGTATCTATCGTGGTCAGCTTACTTTACAGGGTGACACTACAGCAACCATTACAACATGTTTGTCTGACAACTGCAGTATCGTTCGGGGTCTGCTTACTTTACGGGGTGACACTCCAGCAACCATACCAACGTGTTTGTCTGACACCTACAGTATCTATCGGTGTCACCTTACCTTACATGGTGACACTACAGCAACCATAAGAACGTGTTTGTCTGACAACTACAGTATTTATCGGTGTCACCTTACTTTACATGGTGGCACTACAGCAACCATAAAAACGTGTTTGTCTGACAAATATAGTATCTATCGTGGTCAGCTTACTTTACAGGGTGACACTACAGCAACCATACCAACGCGTTTGTCTGACAACTACAGTATCTATCGTGGTCAGCTTACTTTACTGGATGACACTACAGCAACCATAACAACGTGGTTGTCTGGCAACTACAGTATATATAGTGGTCAGCTTGCTTTACATGGTGACACTGCAGCAACAATAAAAACGTGTTTGTCTGACAACTACAGGATGTATCGGTGGCAGCTTACTTTACAGGGTGACACTACAGCAACCATTACAACATGTTTGTCTGACAACTGCAGTATCGTTCGGGGTCTGCTTACTTTACGGGGTGACACTCCAGCAACCATACCAACGTGTTTGTCTGACAACTACAGTATATATAGTGGTCAGCTTACTTTACATGGTGACACTGCAGCAACAATAACAACGTGTTTGTCTGACAACTACAGTATCTATCGGGGTCACCTTACTTTACTTGGTGACACTACAGCAACCATAACAACGTGTTTGTCTGGCAACTACAGTATATATAGTGGTCAGATTTCTTTACATGGTGACACTGCAGCAACCATAAAAACGTGTTTGTCTGACAAATATAGTATCTATCGTGGTCAGCTTACTTTACAGGGTGACACTACAGCAACCATAAGAACGTGTTTGTCTGACAACTACTGTATCTATAGTGGTCAGCTTACTTTACATGGTGACACTACAGCAACCATAACAACGTGTTTGTCTGACAACTACTGTATCTATAGTGGTCAGCTAACTTTACATGGTGACACTACAGCAATCATAACAACGTGTTTGTCTGGCAACTACAGTATATATAGTGGTCAGATTTCTTTACATGGTGACACTACAGCAACCATAACAACGTGTTTGTCGGACAACTACAGTATCTATAGTGGTCAGCTTACTTTACATGGTGACACTACAGCAACCATAACAACGTGTTTGTCGGACAACTACATTATCTATCGGTGTCAGCCTTCTTTGCATGTGTTGTGCGTTCGTTATGTCACTCATTATGGCCGTCATCAACGTCACTATGGAAGCCGTGTGTATGTGCACTAGTACAAAGCTCTATTATCTATCAAACAATCAAGGATAGTTGAAACATAATTTATGCATGTTTTGTAAGTGGCAGTTATAAAACATTCATAGACATATTATATTTTATTGAGTTACCTTGTTAAACGATATGAGTATCTGCAGTTAAGGGAGGGGGAGCTCAATACACCCCGGACAAAAACATTGGGTTGGGAGTTGGTTTATCTAACTAACAAAAATGTTATATATAATCTCATTGAATTGGACTGACGATGGGAGCGGCCACATTGGCATGTCTATTTCTTAATTGTAACAGTTCCGTCACTTTGTTTCAGGCGTTACTGGTCAGAATGACCAGTGACAGGATGTGACATCATTGATCTGTGCTGTACATGCGTAAACGTATGATGCCTCGATATCGCGCTGACCCTGACCTCCATATTCTGACCACGTGAAAAATATGTGGCCAAAGGCGGAAGTTCACCCCATGGCCGGTCTGGTCATCTGGCTCCTGTTGTGTTTAGCTTTGGAAGGTAATTGACAGTTAAAATGACTAAACCGCACCTAACACCATCATTTAGCTTACATGTAATTATGATACGAAGATACGATTCGTGATGACGAATATCTCATTCCCTTTCCTGTGTGTTGTGGATCTCTTACCGCATGGATTCTACATAACATTTGACTTGAAATGTATATTTCAAACGCGTTGCTGAACACGATGTTCTATGTTTAAGTACAAGTACAGGACATTTGGGGGGGGGGGGGGGGGGGGGGGGGGGGGGGGGGGGGGGAAGCGTCAAACGTTTTTGCATTCCTTAGAGACCTCTTGTTTCATTGTCACTGTCTCCTGTTAGACATTCAGTAATTCAGAGTTAAAAGAGTCGACTGTCTTAAGGGATTATTACTGAAAGTTTGGAGGATGATTTGTATTAAAACGATGTATTCAAGATAATTGGCATGGCTTCTACGCTTTGCAAATATTTTTGCTGGAGTAGCTTATGTCGAGACGATAGAATGATTTGAAACGATTCTTGTCACTTTTTCATTTATATTTTTAAGACAAACAGAACACTGTTATGTTTTCTCTGTTACAGCCGACGCCATTGGATGCTTCCAGTGCACTTCCGTCAACAAGGGAAATGCCGCATGCGAAGACTCTTTTAACAATACAGACGACAAATACTATATTTCCGATTGCTGGGCTAGTCGTAATGGGCGCCATGGTCTCTTTCCCGCCACCGAGTGTATAAAAATGATTGCCAATGATGGTAAGGTTTTATAACAATTTCCAAACAAGAAACCGCGACAAAGTGACTTAAAATGATTGACATTGATAGAAAACAAGGAACAAATTGACGTTCCATCAATAATGCTCCATATTGAAATATCCAATTGTGAAAAAGAGACAATGAACGTTCTCAGCTGACGGAGATATCACCGCTAGAGACATGACAGGCTCAGCTTCATTTTCAAACGTTCTATGTATTGTCATTTGATAATCAGCCCTACTCAGCTACAGTCACGTCGTCACGTTGATGGGAAGTGGCAGTGGTTCGTTCACAGGGGTTCTGCTACGAACCCGTAAATGAATGGGTATTATAGTATTATTAGTTTTTCTAACTACCTCGTTTGCATGTAAGTCAGTTAACGAAATGTACCTATAAGCTTACCTGTACGTATGTCGTGTCAAATCAATAGGTTGTTTATCTGTCAATGATTGCATTTTCTCATCTCACGACTTTTTTCTGAAAAATATTGAAAATAGCGGAACTATATTGTATGTTATCGATATGTGTATGTTATGTGTATACATCCCATAAGTTATAACGACAGCATGGTACAAGTATGGGCACTGGATCCGAACAAACAAGTGTTCGCTGGATGCGTTGTAATAAATAGATACGTAAGAAGTAATAACGACCGTGCAGACAAAGGTTCAAGGCATTCCGCCTTGGCTTTTACATAAACACGAACACGTGCATATCGTTACACATCACAACATACAGATACAGATATTTTATAAAGTCTCACCTTCAAACAATTCACTACAATGTCATAAAACCAACATACGTTAAAACTGCTGGAAGTTTTAAGAGACCTTGTCTATATATATTATATACAAGTAGAGAAACTAAAAAGGAAGACAAAATTTACAAAACAAAACACTAAACAATATATACATTAGTTTAAAATAACTCGCGATTAAATTATATTTTCATTTTGCGCTAAATGCATTTACATCTTAAAAGTTGTATAATTTACCTTAAAAAGCCCATATATTTATAGAAATAATTACATGAGTATGTGTATAGTTTATATTAACACTTAGACCTCATCTAGTGTATATAACTCTTAAACGTTGTAGTAGATGTTTTTTGGTGACAATTTAAATAAAATAAAAAAAGCTATATTTTTTCATATCTACCAGTCTCTCATCCTCGATATCCATGGGTTATGCTCATTTTCGCTCTCTGCACCCCTGGAATATGTCATAGCAACATTGAAGGCTCAGTGTGTGCCACCTTGTTGATGAGACAAGAAGACTAGTTTGATCCTTTCACTTTCAAAAGAATCTCGCGGTCGCGTAACCGCTAAAATTTGACTGACTTTGAAGTCGAGTGCTGTCCCTTTGTTATCTTCTAAGGACAGGTATCAGCCTAGCAGTTGGCCAGGTCTTGTTACCTGAGACCAATCAAACAGCTGTCTGTGTAAATTTGGAGGCACGTTAGTCTAGTGGTAGGACGCCGGACTCGTGATCGAAGGGTTGCGGGTTCGAGTTAACTTATTCAAGAATGGTAAAATTGACATCCAACAGGACATACGGCCCGGCAGGCCAGATATTGCAGCATCAAAGAACATTGCTGCTGTAAAAGTAATAAATGAGGATGCTGGTTGTTATACTGTTTCTGGGGTCAAACGTTTGAAATGTGCTAAATATATATCGAAAAAGTACGATAATTACGACGACTCAAGAAGGCTATCTGAGTTACTTTCAGGGGGCGTGACCTGTGTGTATTTTGCAATTAATTATTTTATCGACGTCATTGTTTTCTCAAGTATTTTCCGCAATAAACACATGTACATTTTGTCATCTTTAGATTCAACTGGGTTTTCGCTGGTGGTGCGGGACTGTGTGGTAGATAATGGCGGTACTAACTCGGAGACAGAGATCGGACGACAGAGCCACTGTGGATGGATGAGGGAGATACAGTATAACGACAAGAGGATGAAGGGATGCATCCTCAGCTGTAACTCCGACGGCTGTAATGGCGCGTCTGGACTGAGGACTTTGCACGTGCAGACGCTTGTTTTATTGGTGCTTGTAACTAAATCGGCGACACGGAAAATATTGTGCAACAGCTGATGGGTGCATGCCAACGGCATCGCAGTGTTTCGTGATGTTTAAAAGGAGTTCTGGTGACGATTTTTGTTACTAGATTTTAGCGTGCTCAGTCAGTTAAGGTTGTAATAGCACATATTTCTAAACAAATATATTTCATCTCGAAGGACATTGTGTGACAAATAACCTATCTGAGATAACGCTAAACATGTATAATTCTTGCCTGTCTTGTGCAAGTTACTATTTATGTATGAGCGTCTGCGTTTTTGATGCTTTTTACGTGTCTCGGTGCATATTAGACAAATGCACACCAGGACTAGCTGGATACAGTTTAAATCTACAAGATTTCTAGCGCTTATGGTGTATCATAATAACGTATTATATACACACGAACGTGTTTTAATGGAGTTATTCATTAAAAGGTGTGCTACTCCTCAATAAACTGAAGTAAAGCTAGAATGTTTTCCCTTTCGTACAATGTAGATTCGTCTGTTATATACTAAAGTATTCTACGAAATTGTATGCATAGCGATAGCAGAATGAGAATGAATGAAGTGCTGATCTACACGACTGAAATGTATTCAGACTCAGCTAATGGACAGAATTACAGGCATTTAATCATCTTACCATAGAATATAAAACAGTTTTGGACTTGATTACTAAGATATAATTGATGCTATCCGCTGTTGTCCGTTTCTTTTAGTAGTATCATAATGTGATAACATTATTTGTATAATAGATGTCGCATGGTAAACTCTTATCGTCCATTTTTTAACTTAGTTGTGTTAATCTCTGTAAATACTAAGTTGTTGTTGTTGAAACGGTTTACTAGTCGTGTTGCAAATATCTTTCCTAGATTTGATAGGGCGGCTACATATACAGTACTTTATTGAAATAGTATACTTTCGTGAAATGCACGTGTTAACGGTCACTGTTATGTAGAAGTAGTTTCGGAATCATCTATTAATTCTATTATTCGAATTCGAATTGGAAGCGTTGACATTTCTACATTCTCTACTTTCTATATACATTAAAGTTATTTCACTGTTGTTGAACATTGAGTTGATCAGGCCTTTACAGCGAGTTGGTGACATGAATTTATCATTAACGGAGGAATGTGTTCACGGATCCAGTAACTATATACAGCATCAATATTTTCTATCCCATACAGCGTCAATGAAGTATATCAAATGTCATCATATCAGTTAGAAATCATGTAACATTTGTAACCGTTTTAGATGAAATGTAATATAGGTATTTGTATATACATAAATTGGAATTTTTAGCCCACCATCAGATGATGGTGGGCTATTCAAATCACCCTGCGTCCGTGGTCCGTGGTCCGTCGTCCGTCGTCCGTCCGTAAACAATTCTTGTTATCGGTATTCCTCAAGAAGTACCAGAGGGATCTTTCTCAAATTTTATATGTAGGTTCCCCTTGGTCCCTAGCTGTGCAGGGCAGCTTTTGAGACTGATCAGATACACAACAGGGCCGACAGGCAGCCATCTTGGTTTTTGATAGTGAAAGTTTGTTATCGCTATTTCTAGGAAAAGTAACAGAGTGATCTTTCTCAAATTTTATACGTAGGTTCACCTTGGTCCCTAGCTGTGCAGGGCAGCTTTTGAGACTGATCGGATAAACAACATGGCCGACAGGCAGCCATCTTGGATTTTGATAGTGAAAGATTGTTATCGTTATTTCTAGGGGAAGTAACAGAGTGATCTTTCTCAAATTTAAAATGTAGGTTTCCCTTGGTCCCTACCTGTGCAGGGCAATTTTTGAGACTGATCAGATAAACAATATGGTCGACAGGCAGCCATCTTGGATTTTGATAGTGAAAGTTTGTTATCGTTATTTCTAGGAAAGTACCAGAGGGATCTTCCTTAAATTTTATATGTGGGTTCCCCTTGGCCCGTTGTTGTGCAGGGCAACTATTGAGACTGATCGGATAAACAACATGGCCGACAGGCAGCCATCTTGGATATTGACAGTGAAAGTTTGTTATGCTATTGCTCAGGAAGTACCAGAGGGATCTTTCTCAAATTTTATGTTTAGGTTCCCCTTTTTCCCTTGTTGTGCACTCACTCACTTGAAAACTCACTCACTCAGCTTCACTTTCACTCAGCCTCACTTTCAGTCAGTGTCTAAAATGGACCAAAAGTTGTCAGAAGTGAGGTAGACACTGGCCCAACAAATATAGTTTGGGCGACTGTCGAAAAAGTTATGAATACAAGAAATTATAGTCCCTTCCACATTAATTGGGGGGGGGGGGGGGGGGGGGGGCAGTACATTTTTCAGTTGTCATTACTTCGATTTGAATCGAACTGTCCGTGATTTAGAAAATGTGATGATTTTTTTTCAGATTTTCTGTAGAAATACAACCAGGGTGTCTTCTTTGAGGTGCAAGTTTTGTGTATTTCGTTTGGAAACATGTCAGGTTTTAACTAGGGTTGAAGAATTGAAAATATAAGGTTTGTTCCGTTTTACATATTACAAACATTGTCATGTTATATGTAATCTAAATGTGCTGAAGCATTGTGTTAAATGCTGTGGAAATATTTCTTCCGTAAATTATTTGGGCCACCAATATGTCATTTGGGCCAGTGCTTCAAATTTTTTATTCGCCCAAAAAAAGGTTTTGGGGCCAGCTAATGCAGGTCCCCCACTATCTTTTATTGTTCAGGTTTTTTTTTTAAACCGATCAGTTAAACAAAATGCCCTAGCGACAGCCATCTTCGATTTCTGACATTGAAGGTTTGTTAGTGCTATTTCTCAGGAATAATTTGAGGGATCTTTCTCAAATTTGGTATGTAGGCTCCCCTTGATCCCTCGTTTTGCATGTTATATTTTCAGACTGATCATAAAAACCAAATGGCTAAAGGAAGAACTAAACAGGTCTTTCTCATATTGCAATGATCGATTCCATTTCTTTCACATTAAGTACTGTACTAGTCAATATGTGATATGACAAACTCACTTTGAAGGTTGGCTTTCATACACATCAGCATTAAGTTTAGATCAAAAGTTACCTCAAGGTGCATTTACTGTTAACATGACTCGATCAAACAGATTAGAGGAAAGAAGAGAAAAGAACAACTAACAAAGGACTAATGAAGATGATACAATGGTGGGCGCCAAGATCCCTCTGGGATCTCTTGTAACTATTACCGCATAAAGGCAGGTATTGATACACATTTAGTAAACCACCGACTGTAAAGAGCGTTTATACAGCTTTTATTTATACAGCGCATGTGAAGTTTCACGTACAGTAGACTGGGAGATTGTATAAGAAATAACATTTGCACTCATGTTTTCATGTTTTGATTATAATTGTAAAACGCTTCATATCTGTAAAAAAAACCGGCATTGAAATATTATTCAATATTGATAAATTATCTTCAATTAATAAATACTTAATTATCTTTTTAAAAGCAACTTTTTAGAATATGTTACATTTTTGTAGGAAATCCTATCAATGTATTAACGTAAGGGTACCCAAAACGTAACACGTTTAAAAGAAAATTATTTATATTTCCTATTTAGTTTCTGGAACATCAATTTGTTAACTATAATGAAATAATAGATGCATTTAGCGTTCTTTTTATATATTTTATGGGTATCATTATCTCGTGTGTCTATTCTTCCCAGAGTTCATACAGTGTTTACTCGGGTAAGCTTACTTGGTACCAAAATGGAACACCTAATCGTATAAATCTGTTTATGAAAATCACAGGTAGATTTAAAAATATTTTCTTTGTTTCAAGAAAGATTTGACAATTTTCGATAAATGTTCGTCATAAATTCATCAAAATATTTTAGATTAAATAAATGCCATGTATAGAAATATCACAGGATATTATGATGTCACACAGGCCCATTTCTCCGGAATAATTCTCATTGCATTTTTGGAATTTTTCAATTGAGTTCTTTAGCAACATACAAGAGGTAGGCGGATCAAATTTGCTCCAAACTACATAAATTGTGTTTTGGAATTGACAACATTCTTTTGTATTGTAAAATAAAATAAAGCCTGCATCATATGTATATAAAATGTGTTACGTTTTGAGTACCTTTCCATTTAGATTTTCCTTACGTTAAGAGATTATTTCATTCAAAATTACGTACAGAAAGCATGACATTATGAATCTAACGCAGACCTAGTTAAAATAGTAGAACACAGGTGGTCTCATTCTTGGATACATCTAAGAAACATGATACAAGACCAAATGGCATACATCTAAGTAACATGATACAAGACCAAATGGGTTACATCTAAGTAACATGATACCAGACCAAATGGCATACATCTAAGTAACATGATACCAGACCAAATGTCATACATCTAAGTAACATGATACCAGACCAAATGGCATAATCTAAGTAACATGATACAAGACCAAATGGCATACATCTAAGTAACACGATACAAGACCAAATTGCATACATCTAAGTAACATGATACAAGACCAAATGGCATCATTGCGGTGTATTTGATTGATTAATAATAAGTTAAGAAAACGGATACATTTTCATAGTTTATCCATTCACGACATAGAATAAGACTATAAATCCATATTTCAGTAAGACCAAGCAGAGTCAACATTGGGCATCCTAGTCTCCACATTTGATGACTGTTGCACCTGTCCTGCAAAGTTCTGCTATATAAAAGTATTTTGAGCGTGTCCTGCTGTAAGTGGGCCAGTAATCCGTCACAAGTAAACACAATATACAGGTTACATGTGTTTCAGCAGACAGTTCACAGTATATATTTCACTCCCCAATATGAGATTCAACTGTTGGGTTTGAAGGGACATTTCTGTTTGATGTGTTTTGACCCTTCACATTTCAGGAAACTTCTTAAATTCCTAAATGTCGAGAGTCAACTGGAAGGCTGGGTTTAAGAACCAAACATAACTCACTTGCTGGTATCATGGTGTCATAATTCTTTTTCTACTTTTACTTGAATATCTTATTCTTGCAAGTAGACGCCAACTTTACCAACACCCGTTTGATGTAGATAGTGTTAAAGATGTGGTATTTTGTTGAGAATTTCTGTGGATTTTAGTTTCCAATGGCCGATTTGCCATTCCTTGTTAATATATTGTAATTTAGATATCCAAATACCAGGAAGTAGATATTTATCTTTATTGAAACAATGATTATTTTTCTTGTTTATGAGACAGCTGTTGTGGTTGCCATGATTTCTAGAATATATTGATGTATATTATGTAGTATATTTAATTGATCTGTTAAGAAAAAACGGAAAACAACACAAAAGAACATGGCTTTTGTTAAATAAAGTTCAAATTAAGATGAGTAGATGTAGTTTTTCATGATTTCGGCTAGTGACCTATTCTTAACGCTTTCCGTCCGTCGTCGTGCGTAAACGTTTTACATTTTTGGCTTCTTCTCATTAACCAATGAATGGGTTTCCACCAAACTTGGTAGAGACCGTCCTTGGTGGAAGAAAATATCAAACTGTAAAAACGATTTTTTTGCTCCATCTCCATCTCCTTTTTCATATGTTGTGAATGGGACATCCATCTTACGAGGGCATATGACTTGGCCATGCAGTATTTCTATTCAATTTATATACCTTTATTCTAAAATATTCAACAATAACTCATATCTTCTGCATACCCTGCTGATTAAATGTAACGATGTTGAACTGAATCCAGGTCCACTCGGGAATGTAGAAAAGATTCATCTTAATGTTAGATCCATAAGAAATGAAATAGATGTTATTGAAGCACAACTACATGATAGTGATATAGTATGTATAACTGAATCAGACCTTAAGCCTCTAATCCCAAATTCTGATATTAAATTAGAGTCATTCTCAGATGAAATCCATAGGAAAGATAGGACAACAGGGCATGGTGGTGGTGTTATTATCTATCATAAAAATAATGTTCTTACAAAACGTAGACATGATCTTGAAAATGAACGTATAGAAATGATTTGGATGGAAATTTTAATTCAAAACCATAAATTTCTGCTTAGATGTATCTATAGACCTGATTCTAATATAGAATACTGGAGTAAATTTGAACAAATCCTTGATAAAGCTAGTGAAACTTCCATGAATATACTAATAACTGGTGACTTAAATGTTGATATGCTTGGAACTCCACCCAGTTCTCACTTATCTAGACTCTTAACTAAATTTAACCTAATATGTATTATTAAGAAACCTACTAGAGTGACACCTGATAGTGCAACCTTTTTAGATATTGTCTTTACAAACAATCCTTCCATGGTGAAAAATAAACATGTTGACCCTGCTTTCTGTAGTGACCACTTCACTATATATATGGAAGTTTGTT